AATATATGGTCTTAACCAGTCTTTTTGTTCAAATTCTATTACTCTGTCTATTTTCTCTAATTTTAAACCTAAACTTAAATACAGCCTATGATTACTATAATGTAGAATATATTTTTTCTTATCATATAGAGTTGTTGTTAATTTTTGTAATTCTTTATTATCAAATACATTTTCGGGAGCCAATGGATAATCCGAATGGAGATCATGAAGCTCTTCAGTGTATTTCAAATCTACTTCAAAAATATAACATTTTTTATGGTCGTCTATCATTTTTAAAATTCTTTCTGTATCAAAGCAATCAAGATCAGACCATTTAAATCCTTTATATGGTAAATATTCACACATACCCCACCCATAGAGATTATTTGCATTCAAATTTAACAGGTATTTCGTTGTTGTTTTTTCTGTTTATTCTTTTTTATATTTTTCTCCAATATATTTATTATTTGTTTTAGAATATCTAATACTACATTGAGATAATTCTTTCTGTATCAAAGCAATCAGGATCAGACTATTTAAATCCTTTATATGGTAAATATTCACACATACCCCACCCATAGAGATTATTTGCATCCAAATTTAACAGATATTTCGGTGTTGTTTTTTTCTGTTTGTTCTTTTTTATATTTTTCTCCGATATATTTATTATTTGTTTTAGAATATCTAATACTACATTAAGATAATCCTCCTCTTATTCCTTGTTCAAACATTAAATATATATCAATATCTGTTATCAATTCTAATTCTATACCTGTTTTTCTAAGCATAGCATTCCATGCAAAACCTGGAGTTGTATAATAATGAACAGGATCCAACTTAAAATGTTTTAATGAAACATGTCTATAATTTTCCATTATATCTGTAAGTAATAAAACATCTATTTTATCATAAAGTATAGTAAAGTCTTTCATATTTTTTATTTCGAATGTTTCCCATATTTTTTTAGCATTTTCATATGCATTTTGTTTTACATGTTCACCTGTAAGAGAGCTGTAAAATTTATCTATATTAGGTAGAGATTCTTCTTCATATTTTTCTGTAGAATCCATATATTCATAAGGATATGCTAATTTTCCTTTTACTAAATCCAATTTTTCAGGAAAATGTTTAGACAGTTCTTTAAACTGATTTGGTATTAGCTAATTTTTCTAAAGAGCTAGATAAGAACTTGAAAGAATTAAGAAATCTTATTTCAACTGTATTAAAAACAAATTTTCCTTTTTATTTAAAACAGGTTCTTTAGTTATGGGATCTTTTTTCACATACCTCACAATTTTTGACAATGATATATAATTTTCTTCACTATTTGCAATTGTTTTTATATTATCTTTATCAATACCTAATTCTTTTATGAATAAATGCCGGTCATAACCAGATAGATTGTGGAAAAATACTGGAATAAATCTAAGAATCTTATAATTTAGATTACTTATTGAATGAGCAGCACCTCAATATTTTCCTGATAAATGATCATGAACTCTAACTTTTTTCATATTATCCTCAAGATCTTCAATGAACATCTGTTTTTTTTTCTGTTTCTCATCAAGCCGTTTTTTCTAAAATATTCAATTTCTTTTCCTATATTTTCTAAATCTAATCTTTCTTTTTTATTCTTATTCTCAACTATTGATCCTCTTTTTAATTTAGATTGCCAATAATCAAATGTTTCATTAAATATTATATTTCTTTTCACTAGTATTGGTGGTAAATCACTTAAAGATTTTTCACATATATGACAGTTATTTTCTTTTTCAAATTCAGTTACTTGTTCTTTGGTTATTAACATAGGTTTTTTTTACATCTAAATAATTTTTTGCAATATAAATTGCTGCATCATTTATTTTTTCATAAAAAACTTTAGCTGCATCTTCACCTGTATATGTTACTAGATTATTTTTACTAATATTACTATATTTAACATTAAAACAAAAACTAACGGGTAAATGTTTTTGATATTTTTTTGTATAAGAAGCTATATCACAAGGTTGACATGTATCAATTTTTGGAAGCATGCTTTCAAAATCAGCATAAATAACAAATGGAACTTTATATGAATGATTGTATTTTTCGAATTGAAGAATACGATCAGATATATTTGGTAATATTGCTTTAGCGCATTTATTAGTTTTACAATATTCCTCATGATCTGTTAGACTTTTCTTGGTATAAAAATGTGATAAACATGTGTTACATAAATATATTGTATGGTCATGTTTTGTTTTTTGCGAACAAACTAATCATGATAAATTTTGAATCAAACAATAATTTCCATTATTTTCTTCTCTAAGATAAAATAAGTTAATATGTATTTTCTTTTGAGTACCACATATATTTAGGGGTACTATAATATCATCATATTCATAAGTAAACACATTAATAGACATATTTGTTTTTTTTTCAAATTTAAAAATTTCATTTAATTTAATAGGATACTTAATTTTTAAACTTTTATATACTTCATCAAATTCATTTTCCCATTCTTTATTCTTACTAATTCTTTCTGAATTTTTATCTTGTGGATGTAAAGCAGCAATAATAGACCAAAGAAAACATTTGTTATCTTTGTTTTTAATATTCTTAATAGTTTTTTTAACAGATATTATTTTTGGTAATTTAATATATGATGCCCCTCTAAGCGGATTATATTTACACATATTTATGTTCATATCAATAACATTGTTAAATATCCAACCAGAACCCTTAGCTATAAATGCATCTTCTCTAGATTGAATTGTTTCTTTAACATTGTTATAAAAATCGTTGAAATTACTAGAATGAAGAAACTGTTTACTTTCTGTTATAAAACCTGTATTTATTTCCTCGTCTGATGGTTTTCTCTTGATGTATTTACAAGTTACTGTAATAGATATTTTATAATTACCTATTTTTTTTAAAATA